CCTGGCTATGACCACTCAGTGTGGCCACATGGTGTTCTGCTACCCGAACATCATGGTGGTGGATGTGGCCAGAGCGTGAGCCACTGCAAGAAGGAAGAAGGGAATCAGGTTCTGTGGCAGCGTCACATGCCACCAGTAGGCCAGAGTTGCTTCACTTCAGAGGTGTACAGTCTGGGGAAAAGGGCAAAAATCATAGCCTGACTTTGCAACAGATTGGCAAAAACCACTGACCTGGAAAGGATATAGCTATTCCAACATAGGGAGCTCACTCGGGCAGAATGACTGGTCATATTCCGAAGCCGCTTCTGCTGTTGCACATCCCATAGCTAGAGAGAGAACCACTACAGTCAGAGATTGGGCCCTTGGCATAACATCCTCCTGCCAGGCAAGCTCCCGGGGTCTGGGGAACAATAGAGCTGCAGCACAGGGACAAGTCTCACCTGAACCTCAGCACTGCTGGTGCCCACAGCCAGGTAGTTGCCCTCTTTGATCCAGGACACAGAAGATACATAGTCCCCAGGCTGCTCCATCTGCAGCAGCTGCAAGATGTCACCAGAGCTAGCACTCCACAAGTACACACAGTTGTCCAACGCCACAGCCAGTACATTCCCTGAGCTCCAATCCACCAGGTTCAGGTCTGCCAGAGGGACAAAGGGGAGAATATAAGCTTCCTTGTTTGCCTGGTCCCAAAGCCCTCTTTCCCATCCACGCAGCAAGGAACAGGCTGCACTTACAATAGTCATTACGAATTTCAGGGGCATCCAGGATCCTGTCTGGCAGAGAAGGAATGTAGCGGCAGGTCTTCCTGCTGGAGCCAGGGGTAGCCTTCTGGCTATAGAGTACTTTCAGCCTGTTCTGGTAACCTGTGGCAGTGGAGTGAGTCTAGACACTGGGAGAATTGAAACCTCCCCCTGGCCCTAGCCTGGAAGGCCAGATAAACGCTTCCCTCCCCTCAGACTCAGGTGGGAAGAGCAGACGGGAATCTCCCCTCAGCTCTGGGGATGGGCTGACACCTCCCTCCAAAACCCATGAACTTAAGGTCTTACCCTCTGGAACTTTTTGTGGTTTTCCACTGAGACGAAGGATCTTGGCTTCCTCCACATCAAAGCCGTTCAGGTTCAAAGCCCAGGCTTTCTGATGTTCCTGGCACATAAGGGTGGTGGTGAGGCAGGACGGCCTTATGCAAAGTACACAGACGGGTCCCTGCCTTAAGTTCCTCTGGGGCACATACCTTCTTGGTGGGCGTCTGGCTGTTTTCGGGGTGGTTCTCCTTGCTCAGGAGGAAGCTGGCCACCTCCATCTGGGAAGCACTGCGATGGGGGATATAGCGGTCCCCGCCAGGTTTGCTGGGAGTGGTCTGAGCCTTGGAGCTGGATTTGCCTGGGGTGGAGAGAGGAAAGCCAGACAGTCTGCCTAGTGTCCCGCGGGAGTGAGGGGGCACGCGGGCTGCCGCCAGCCGTTCCTTCTCCCTCCCCGTGTCCCGCCGCACCCCACTGACCGGGGGTTCGGCCAGGGGTCCTGCCGGCGCTGTGGGATCGATTCGCGGCCCGCATGGGTGAGGGGGCCGGCCCCACGGCTTCCTTAGCTTTGCGCTGCCAGCGCGCGGGGGGCGCATTGGGGATGGGTGTGTCCAGCTGCAGCAGCGAGTGCAGGTCACTGTCGAACACGAACTGCGCCATGGGAGCGAAGCGTCCGGAGGGGAAAGGGTCTTTGGAGTGGGTGCCCGCCGAGCCCTGGAAGACGACAGGCGACCGTGCTCAGGAAAAGCCGGCCCACAGCCAGGGCCCCCCCGGCCGCGAACCCACCCCGGTCGGGCCCAGCCGCCTCTTGCCTTCAGCTCGGAGCAGGTAGCGATCCCGGACAGCCCTTAGAAACGCCGGCCCGAGTTGCTTAAACTCTCCGCTCCCGGCACTCATTGGCTTCTTCAAAACCCAACCGTCGTAACCGTCGCCTTCTCCCATTGGCCTCTACGGCACTGGGGGGCGGGTCTTCCGGGGCAACGTACAGATCTCACGAGAGTCCAGCAGTGGAGCGCGATTTGAAGGGTAAGGGGCCTTCAGCCAGCGCCTGAGAACCTGCGTCTGAAAGCGAGAGGGCGGGGCGGGAGCACCGGGGGCGGGGCTGGCGCTCCTCCGCCCGCCCGGCTCTCTCCCATTCATTCCTCAGGTTCCCCACCCGCCTTCACATCTAAATCCTGCGTTTGTATTGTATTTATGATACCTAAGCGCAGAACTCCGTGGAGCGACCTAACGCTTTTGAGCCCTTTAGAGAACAGAAAGGCAGCGGGCGCCGGGCGGCCGGCGGGCAGGGGTGGGAGGGTTTGAAAGGGTTGGGAAGCTTAAGAGCGGAGAGGAGGCCAGAACTAGTTAGGGTGAATCCGCTGTTTGCCTGGTGCCTGTAGGAGCACTGCTGGAAACAGTGTAAGAGCAAAGCTAACGTTTGTTAGCTTTTTAAAATTGTTTTGGTGGTGGTTGTTTTACAAGCAGGGAAAATGAAGCTGAAAGGGGTGAATTCCTTATAGTCCAGAAAAAGGGTCAGGATTCAGCCCTGCCTGGAAGATAAGGGTGGACTGCCCCGAGGGGGTCTGTGGCTTACCCCGTGGGGGCTTTAGCGGTGTCAGGAATTTTAGAGATCCCCTAGTATAATCTGCAGTGAGGCACCCCCCTATCCTGGCAGCACACCTCCAGGTCTGAAACCCATTCAGTCCAGTGCTGTAATAATGAACTGAATGAATTGTGTGAATATCCTTAAAGGTGAAGAAGCAATAATAAAAAAAATAACGGGAACCGTTTATTGACCATGCGCTAACTGCTCTGTTTAAACAGTTTGCATACATTGTTGCATTTAATCCTTCCTCCTCTAAGGCAGACACTCTGTCATCTTTTACAGAAAAAGAAACTGGGTCAGAAAAAGGTTAGAAACTTTCCCAAAGGCACATAGCCAATAATAATAAATAGTGGCATGAACTCTGATGATGACAGAGAAAACTCTGGGGCTCTGAGCCCAAATTTAATATTGTTATTATTGTTGATTTTGAAGTGTTTATGCTCTCTATTTCCAATTTCCTTGGAAAACAAGGAGTTGGATGCCCTAGGGTTGTAAATGGGGAGTCCCATTTATGCAGAAAATGTAGTCTAGAGTCAGGCTGGTCAGGGCCTTGGCCAGAAGCTAGGCATTGTGGAATCAGTGAGAGTTTCTGTATAGGGAAGGGCTGAACAAAACCTATCTGAGGGTGGGACATGGCTAGCAGTTTGCAGCTTCTGGAACAGGATTAACTGCAGAGTAAAAGGATAGGGTAAATAGGGGTACAACCTCAGGGAATTCGTACATTTTTTAAAAAAGGAAAGAAAGAAGCCAAATTATACTGACATGGACTTTGAAGTGGGAGGAATTCTAATATGATGCCAACAAGTTAAGCAGAATGATGACAGAAGAGGTCAGATTTGGCCACTGGGAAACAAATCATGGGTGACCTTGGAGAGAGTGGGATCAGGAGAGTGGGTGTTCGGGTTCCATTTGAAAGGGTTGCAGAAGGAAGGGTGGGGAGAATGTGGAGGCAGCAAGCACGGGCTCCTTGGGTGAGAAATCTGGGAGTGAGACAGGGACAGTGCATGGGAGCCTGAGGGAATACTAGCGCCAGGAGGCCTATGTCTATTTGAAGGTGAAGGCAAAAGAGTCAGGGGAGGTGAATGAGCCAGCTGACAGAAAGAAATGGGATAGAAAACACAGGGAGCCTTTCCAGTCTAGGAAAGAAAGACCACTTCCTCTTAGGCTTGAGGGAAGGAAAACAAGGCTCTTGAGATGGATAGAGGCCGAGGAGCTGGTTAGATGGGGGAACTCCCACATGAAGGACTTGAATCTAGGGAAGCAAAGGACATGGAAGGAATAAAATATAGGTAATACTCAGGGGGTGGAACAACTTAGTTGGGATAATAATAAAAATAGCTCAGGAAACACTGAGTAGTCACTCTATGCTTGGCATTGTGTTAACATTTGTAATCCTCACATTGGCAAATCATGGAAGAGAAAGAAAGGTTCTGAAGAGTCAAACTAAAGATTTAGAGGTCAGGAGTGAGATTAATAGGGAGATAATCTGGAGGCAACATACAGGTTGAGACTGGAGAGAAATGAAGAGAGACTAGAGGCAGAGATTTTAGTTAAAAGGTCGTAGTTCAGTGGAGATAGAGATGGAATTTAGGAAGTAAAAGTGATCAGGACATGATGGCTAAGTGGCTGGAAAGGTGAGAGGTTCAGGGGTTTGGGTGTCAATCCTCGTCTTGAATCCCTAGGAGTGAAGTTGGAGCCTTGAGCATAGAATGATGGAAAATGACTATACTGGATGCCACCTATTTGTCCCACCCAGACGCATCCCTCTCTACCCTGCCCTGTGCCCTGTGAGGTTGATTCATGTGCCTGTATCAATGGGTTCCCTTGGGCTCTGGTTTCTGTTTGGGTTCCACCCATAGGAAGATATTATAGGTTGAATTGTGTCCCCCCCAAATTCCTATGTTGGATTCCTAAGCCCCAGTACCTCAGAGTGTGACCTTATTTGGAAATAGGGACATTGCAGATGTAATTAGTTAAGATGAAGTCATTTGGGTCCTTATAAAATGGGGAAATTTAGGCACAGAGACACACTGGGAGAATGCCCTGTGAAAATGAAGGCAGGGATAACGGTGCTGTTCCAGAAAAGATTGTCAGGAAACCCCTGGAAGCTAGGGGAGAGGCATGGAACAGATTCTTTCTCACAGCCCTCAGAAGGAACAAACCCTGCCTGACACCTTGAACTCCTAACCTCCAGAACTGTGAGACAATACATTTCTGTTGTTTGAGCTACCAAGTTTGTGGTACTTTGTTACAGCAACACTAGCAAACCAATACAGAGATCAGAGGGTGGGAAAAGAGTGCGCTTGAGTTATTTATTCCCCTGGCTCCCTCCCTGCCCTGCCCTATCTCTCTACCTAAGGCCACAGCTCCTGCCAGGCAGCCCTCTCTCACAGCGACTCTCCCTAGATATAGTAACCACTCTCTAACCTTACCCTTTGATGCCTAGGGGTGGAACTGGCCCCAAGCTGTTGTTAGCCCTGGGGTACTGCACTATTCCTTGAGAGTTTTCCTAAATCCTGCCTTATCTTTATAAATATTCCCTTTATTAAACTCTCATCAAGATACCCAGTTTGGGTGTGCCATCTATTTCTGCCAAGACCCTGACTGGTACAGTGGGTATGTTTGGAGCCAGGAAAAAAAAAAGAAGCAAAAAACAAAAACACTTTTGTCAGGGGAATCCATAGCTAGAATGGCCAAAGCACATTTACTGCTGTATGTGAATGGCTTACTGGATGAGGGAGGTTGGCATGAGGTTAAGGTAGTAGTGTCCAGAAATATTTCATTCATTTAGAAAACATTTATTGGAGGCTTACTGCCGTGCACCAAGCACTACTCAGGGGAGAAAAGACAAATCAGAGCCCTTGCCTTCAAAGAACTCACAATCTAGTAGTGGGAGACAGACATGTAAACAGTTACTTGCATAAGGCATCACAGGTGCTGTAGTAGAAGTCTGGGCTGGAGACAAGAATTTTGGGATGGTCAGGATAAAGCCATGAAAATGGATGGAACTGGAGACTGTTAAGAATGGACTCTTGAGGGACTGCTATAAATAAGATGCCATGATAAGAGAACAAGAAAGAATAATTCTAACCATTCAGGTATATTAAACACTATGTCCTGGGCACTGTGCTTTCCTTAGATTATCTCACTTAATCCTATTCACAACTCTCTGTAGGGTTTCACTGCCCCTATTTTATAGGTGAGGAACTAAGGTTCAAAGACTTTATTTGCCCACAGCTAGTAAGTGAGATGACAGGAATTGAACTCAGTGCTGACTTCAGAGTTTATGCTCTTAAGCACTGGAGGAGCAAAACCAGGAGAGACTGTGATGTTATGGAAGCCAAGGTAGGAGAGAATTTAAAGCAGAAACAAGTAGTCACCATGACAAATGCCACAGAGAGATCAAATAAATGGAGGGTTAACAAGGTTCCTATTGGATCTTGCAATTAGAGAGTTTGAGGTGAACTCTGAGCAGTTTAATTAGCAAAGTGGTAGAAGAACTAACTGAAGTAGTCTAAAGAGCAAATGAAAAGTGGGGAAGCATGAAGACTTCTTTTCAAGGAGCGTGGCATTAAAGAGGAGAGAGAAAGAAGGTGGAAGTTAGAGCTTAGTCAAATAAATGAGTCTCCTGAGGAAAGAGGGTCCTGGATTTATGTCAGCAGCAATACTGCAAGATCAGTGTTGTGAAGCCCAGCTATGAGGGTCAACAAGGGGGATGAAAGTGAGGTCTGAGATGTGTATGGTGTTGGGGTGGGGTGGGATGGGATGGGGTAGGGTGGGTAGAGAGAATGGGAAGAAAGGTCTAGAGAGTTTGGATCTGGCCAGGGTACTGGGAATGAGGGGCCTGCCAACAGGTCAGCGGTAAGTAGGAATGGTTGGCAATGTGAGTGGTGCAGTAGGATCCTGACTCAGTCATGGGTGGGCACACAGACAGGGGCATGGTCCCCAGGCAAGAGGGCTGTAATCCTCGGTAGTCCATCTGGGTCTGGGAGGAACATAGGGGCAATGGAGTCTTCTCTGAGGACTTAGGTAGAATTTCAAGGAGGCTGGGTTCCACTTCCTCATAGACATCTGAGACTGCAGGCTTGGGCTGGGAAAGATGGGAGGGAAAGGAGTCTGGATTAGCAGGTCCTATGGGAGGAAGACACAGATTGTATAGGAAGAAGGGTTTGGCTGGGGGTAGGGCCCAGGGCAATGGAATGCTGGTGGGCAATGGCCTTGGAAAAGTTGTGTTATAGGGGCAAAGATCCAGCTCCTCATAGGACTAGTGGCGGGTAGTAGGGAGGGGAGTGCACTCACCGGACTCAGGGCTGCAGTATCCCTAAGGTACTGGCCTAGGACCCGGTGCAGGTCTGGAAGTGAGGGCCACAGGGCATGCCTCAGGTTCCTTGGAGAGAAGGGAGAGAAGGAGACTGAGTCATGGGAGTGTGTTGGG